GGCCCCCCCCCCCCCGCCGCCGCCGCCGTCTCCGCCACCACCTCTACCGCCCCTGACCAACACGCCGCCTACTACGGTACCGCCGGCTTCTGGGCTTCTGCTGCCGCCGCCCCCGCCGTGGGCGAATGAGGAGTTCGGGCCGGCGGGGGGGGCGTGTGTCGCCCGGGTGCCACCGCCGCCACTGCCGCCGCCCAGATGCGACATGGTGGCGCTTGTGCTCCGCATCGACTGCTGAGTCAGCAACCGGGAGGCGTTTTGACAATGACGGGCAACAAGCTGTTTGACAAAGGGATCGTACAAGGTGGTGGTAAGCAAGCTCGGCATGAGGGTCAGGCGGCGCCGTAGAGGGGTCGAACCCCCAAGAGTGGTCGTCACCCCTTGCAGCCGACGGAGGAGAGAGAATACCACGGCGGGCAACACCCAAAAAAGTTGATGTCAACAAAAAAGCGGGTTCGGGCCTGGGAGAGCAACGCACACGCCTGGCTCGCATCAAGCGCTTGTCTCACGCGCCTGCCCGACTGCTACGACGTCTAAACGGTTAACACGAACACGTTTCGGCTCAATAACCCTACCTGCGTGTGGGAATGTTGGCTCGGGTAGTCGGCCGGGTGGGCGGGCGGCGCGGGGTCTGGGGACCCGCGGCCGCTGTTGACCGGGTAATCTGGGCTCCAAGAGCCCTGTTCGTGCGCGCGAGAGTGCCGGGAGACGACAAGAGCGCGCGCGCCGGTGCGGCGAGGTGCGAGATTTCAGGCCCCACAACACACACAGCAAAACGATCGCGGTAGACGACAAGGCTTTTTGGTATCACAGGACGACCCTGAACGACGGAAAAGAAAGGAGCAAAGCAAAAAAGGAGGACGCAAACTTGTCCCGTGCTGCATCTAGCTTGTGAGAGAGCGAGCAGTAGGCGCAAGCGGGGGGCAGCACGGAGGGGCGCGGCGGCGCCACCCGTACGAATACACACGGTACGGCAGAACAACGTACCTGGTCCGCAGAAAAACCAGTAGCAGCAGCAGCCCCGCTTTGCGAGGGGTAGCCCAGCCTCGCGCTGTTGCTGCCGCCGCTGCTGCTCCTGCTCACTCTGTCACCAGCGATCCAGTTCAGCACCGTGGGCTCGTCGTACTCCCTCCTGTCTTGAACTGCCCACCTTCGGTGCGAGTTGAGCTTCCAGGTCCGAGAGACCAAATGAAACGCGCGGGGGGGAGGGGGGGAGGTACTCGTTTCGCGCTTGCCGTGAAGCGATTGATCCGTACCCTTTTGATAGGGGGCGGGTGATAAGACCAAGGCGTCCCGGTCTATAATTTTTGGGTTGTTCCGGCGAAAGCTCTCGAGGTTGGGACAGAAACGCATCCGTAAATTGATTACATACGACACGCTCGCAAGTCTCCGTCTCGAAGGATGATCCCGAGATCCACATAAGCGAGTAAGGACACATTTTACTCGCTTTCCGCAGGCGATTCGACCGCAAATCACATCCAGCAATACTTGCTGCCGTGGTGAACATCGACAAGTCGTCTATGAAATCCATCACCTTGTACTGGTTCTGGTTCGAGGTTCATGTTTCCTTGAAAACTAACCTTCGTTTTCTTGGCAGAATCGTCCAAATGCGAGGGCTCTAAAAACGAATGTATTTTTGTCTATTCCCCTTCACAACTCGGACGCTATTCATTCCTCGATCGGTATAACAGTACATATGCCACCCCAAACACCACGATCCAACTCAGGCTACCCGAAACACGCCAGGTAGAGGGAGGGTGAGAGAGACGTGGAAACAGGGGCACCAACACAAGTGTACAAAACAGGCACGTAAATGGTGAGCCGACATCGCAACTGCTGTGCACCTCGCTGTACCAGCAACAGAAGCGACTGACTGGGTAACCTCACCGTGTAGAGCGCCATGCGGCCGGTCGGTTCCAAGTACCATCCCTCATCTCCAACCCTCAAGCCTGCCGTTGTCCGTAGGGATGGGGTGCGCGAGCGCGCATGTTACACGTGACTACGTGGAGGACCATAAACTAGGTCAAAAGCTGGGTACACTGGGCGCAGTAAAAACACACAAAACAGGCTTGCTCACAGGAATGTCGCACGGGACTAAGACGTCCGCATAAAAACCGCCAGAGTGAACACGCCCGCCACACGAGACAGACTCAAGAAGTGAGACAGAAAGGCATGACGACTCGCGAACTTCACGCTTGAAAACGGCGGCATATTCCGTATCAATGCGCTTCAAGCTCAAACATGTCACTGGCACCTCAATACCAACACACCCAAGCAATGAGCTGGTTAGCATCGAGTGCACAACGCACGACCGGGAGTACTTCAACAAAGAAAGCGAGGCCTAGACGCATTCCCGCACAACAACACCCTATCAAAAACAGACGACCGGGGTACAGTAGCAAACGAAAAAACAAATCATGCCGAGATGAGGACATCCGTGAGCGTGAACGTGCTGAAGGGAGAGGAGAACTGTGTCTGACCCCCCCCCCCCCCCCCCCCCCCCCCCCCCCCCCCCCCCCCCCCCCCNCCCCCCCCCCCCCCCCCCCCGGCGCGCTTGTCCCTGCGCTCACCTCCTAGCGGCCGAGGCTGTGCCGCGTACTGGTCTCCGTTAACAGTCCCGACCAGCTCGATTACGTCGTGAACCACTTGAGACCAAGCCACCGTTTCGGGCTCACTGCGGCATAAAAAGGGCACACAACCATGAGTTTTGAGATGTCTCTGTAGCATGGTGGACATCGACATCACTGGGTGGAGCGGCAGAATCCTCGTTTCGAAGGTTGGTTGCGCCCTGCATCCCGGAAAACCTAGAAACATCACAAAATCACACCTCGGAGCAGACAGCCGGCACCGGCTCATAAGCTAGGCCAACACACTTTGCGCGAGCGCAACGCGTCCTACGCGTTCTCCGGCCGACAGACAAAAATACTAGTATGTTCACGAAGCCCGTTCCACGTAGAAAAATACCTAGGATGCGTGTTTGCGCCCAGAAGGTGTCTAACGCCGCATACTCACTCAAAGGCAGGCAAGCGGGTAGGCACAACTCAGGACGCCACAGTGCGTGCTTGCTGGCACGTTATTCAAGCATACTGCCTGAATACTGATCGCTTTGGGTTTACATATATTTCAACCAGCTCGTAGGGAACGCTAGTGCACCGTGCACGCGGCGACTGCGTCAAAGATCGCTCGCTCGCTTG